AGCTCCACCCCCGAGCACCACACCCTCAGGAGCCCACAGAAGCCTCAGCTGCGTGAAGCCTTCTGTCCAGGTAGCCTGTGGCCTGTGTGTCCTCTCTCCCATCCCTGTGACTGAGTCAGGTGTGACGTTGACCTGGTCTGAGACTCAAGGCATCTGCTGGAAGCTTCTGGGCAAAGTCTCCTTTCTTCATGGAGCACGAACGTGTGGCAGCTGCGGTCTTATCCTGGAGTGATCTTATCCCCCAGCCAACGGCCTGGCCCACTCTTTCCCATAAAACCTATCGCTATCACATTTCACCTCGGGGGCTTGTTGGCACCCAGGGAGGGGGTCTTGGTGCTGATCTTATAAATGTTGGTCCTGATTTTTTTCTTTTTTCTTTTTTGCAAGAGTGAACGGAGTAGGATTTACTCAAGTGGGAAGAACAGAAACAGAACTCTCCAGGGGTGGGAGGGAGCCAGTAGCAGGTACCGACACTGATGTTTTAATAGAGGGTCCCTGAACCCAATATGTCCGCACACACACGCACGCCTACTTGGTGAGTTTCGTCATACAGATATCATCATTCAGCCAACATCATGATTAAGATAATGAGTAACTTACCATCCCTACAGACCCCCGGGGCCTTAACCCCTTCCCCAGGCTCCTGCTTCCCTCAACCCCACCCCTAGGCACCCTCTGATTTCCCATCACTGTACACCGTACTCATCCTCTAGAATGCCGCATAAGCGAGGTCCACCCTTCCTATCTGGTGTCTTCCCTTAAACGTGCTTATTTTGAGACCTGCCCAGGACGTGGGTGTACCCAGGGTCTTTCTACTCTGCTGTGTGGATGAAGCAGTTTATAGCTCACCTACTGTTGGACGTGTCAGTTGTTTCCAGTTTGCCTGATACAAATAAAGCTGCCAGGAACATTTAAACATTAAAAAAATACTTCTAAAAATCAGTATCTTTACTTTTTGGTTGGGAAAAAAATCCTAGAGTGCTTTATCTATGTTCCAGCTCTTGGGCAAAGGTGTCCACAGGGACATTATAAATATCCTATAACTGAAAGATTATTGTATTTACTATCACGTTTCCTTTAGATTCACCCACTGCCTCTAAACCATTCCTTCTCAAATTCTAGGCTTTTCTTTTAGGATCATTGTTTTTCCTTTTAAAAAATATTTACTTAAAAAATGAAGTAACGTGCAGACAAGAGTAAAATTCCAAGTTTCAATTTGTCTAAAAACAATTTTTTTTATAGTTGGTCTTGACCTTACTTCTTGAAAGATTTTTCTAAGGTACAATTTTAACTTAGCATTTATTTTTTTAATATTTTGAGAATATTGTTCTCTATCATTTGTCTTCCAATGTTGATTCTAATTAATTGACTATCAGTTGAATTGTCATTCCTCTGTAGAAAATGTCTCATTCTAACTGCTTTTAGAAATTTCTGTTTGACTTTCACAATCTGTAGTTTCGGTGTTTTATTCAGATGAGGCTTTCATTTTATTTAAGCTACATGGAATTAATTGGGATTCTCAAGTCTTAAAAATCATAGAAAGTTTTACTTTATTATTTCTTTAAATAATGTCATTCTATTATTTTTCTTCTGGAAACCTAAAAAAATTTGAAACTTCTATCTTCTGTCTTTTTAACTTCTCTTTTATCTTTAAAGGTTTGGGGTTGCATTTTGATTTTTCATATCAAATTTCAGATTTAAGTTCTAATTTCTCTTTTTGCCCATGTTTTCTTTATAGGTTAGCTTATTTAGTACATTTTTTGACAGGTATTCTAATTTTCAATTCTATATTTCATGTGTGTATGTGTGTACTCTGGGTATTTCTGACAGTCCTTTATTTTTTAACAATTGATATATATATATATACTTTTTAAAAATATATTAATCACACTCTTATTCTCTCCCTGATAATTTCAATTTCCATATTTTTTAGTTTTTGTGTGCTGGGGGTCAGACTCGGGGCCTTGCGTGTGCTGGGCGAGTGCTCTACTGCTGAGCTGCCCCAGGCCCCAATCTGTGCATTCTTTCAGGGTCGAGCCTCTTGTCCTCATTCCTGATGGCTCATCGTGATTTTTCTCATTATCAGTTCATGCTTTGCCTGACATTATCGGAAGGGATTATTTGGAACCTCATTTTAAGTACAGATCCCCTGGGAGGGTGTGGGCTCATTTCAGCCCAGGGTCTGGCACTGCCATCTCATGACTTAGCACTTTCTGTGCCATACAGAGGAGTGAATATTTGCTCCAAACTCAGGAAAAGATGATAATTCTTCCAGATGATATTTTCTGCTTTACCCAGAGCAAGAAAAAGCCCAGGCCTACCCTCTGCTCTCTCCAATGAGGTAGTGCCTTCTGAGCCCTTGTTTCTAACTTGCTGCCTGGTCAGGCCCTCGTGCCACTGTCTGCTCCAGTGTCCACCCCCAGTGGCCAGTAGTTGCCCCAGAACAGTAGCTCATTCGATTTCTTCTCTATAGTCCAGTTTTTTCTCAATTGCTGGCAAATGAACTTTGCATTACCAAGTTAACATGGTTATTCTTTTAAAAGTGCATGTTTTATGATTAAATCCAGTAGTTTTTCCTGTGATATGAACTGCAAGGTTTTTAGGGATGTCCACTGACTACACTGTCAGAAACAGACTTGCAATGTAACTTAATTTATACCCAATCGATAACCAAGGTAACCTAAACATTCAACAAGCAAGAACATGATCTTCAACACCACCCAGCAAAGCTTTCCCCTTTGACTGATTTGAAGATAAATTCCTTAGGGATGCAGGATTTTCTATTCTGCTATGGATAAATCTTTCCAATTACCATCAAGCAACATGAGAGGCAGTCGGTCAATGATTGAAGTAGATTTTCAAAGGACCGCACATGACTGTAAAGATGAAGACCACGTGGCACTAGAGGACAGGTGGGTGGATGAGTGGATAGATGGAAAGTTATGTGTATGTAAGCATGAAATTACTATATGTAATGTAATTATTATACATATCATGTATAATATACTATATATATGTGGTGTGTTTGTGTACATGTGTATATATATGTGTACCTATATATATTTAACTATTGTTTAAAAATTCTGCCCTATAAAATATGTACGTTTTAATTGCAACTCAGTAGGAAACTCACAAGACTAGATTGTGTTTTGTTGTGTGTGATGACATACATGTCATCATTTATCTTCAGGATTTCTTTCTTCAGGGTTTACATTAATAAGAATCTACTCATGCTCCCAGCCCGTCTGCTGGGGAATGTGACTGCTGATGGCGGCTGGCTTGGTACCCTTGTAGTCATCTCTCAGATCAGCCAGAGGAGGCACAGCTAATGATCCCAGCTCCAACGCTGTACCTGCTGCTCATGACAGATTTTGTTCCTTAGAGAAGGTATGAGTTGCCAGCTGACTGTGACAGGTTATGAACTAGCACCCTGTTTGTGTTGACACCCAAACAGTACTTAGAGCTCAGGAAATAAAAACAGCCAGATTATAACGGACACAGAGTTTCTGAGGTAAAATTATAACATTATATAAATGATAAACATGACCGCAATAATAAAATCATTTTTAAAATAATGTCAGAGTTTGGGGTGTCTTTCAAGAACCATCTGCTGTATGTGAAATGTACAACCTGCATTTGCAAAGAAGAAGAGAGGACGGGAATTCAGTTCCATACCTGGCCACCCCACTACATTTTCTAACAGACCACTCTGCCAGAAAGCTGCCAAAGACAGATAGGAAGAGATAAAGCAAAGGGGGAATCATTTGAATGACGTGGATATAAATATAAAATACCACAGCATCGGGTGGGGGGGAGATGAACTATATCTTTGCTCTTTTTCTTTGTTAGGCTCTGAGATGGCTGTCTTCTGTGGCTCTTCCTTATCTATTCTGCATATCCCTTTGTTCTGAGTCTGGATTGGCACATTTCAATGTCGAGCCAGTGATACTATGAAGTATGTATTTGGTCTTTGCCCCGATTCCTGGCATGTGACTCCTAAAGTCCTGGGACTTTGCAAGGTGACAGGTAGCTTCTTTGGGGTTTTGTTTGCTGCCTTTTGTTCTTGTGTTCCTGGGGATGCACTAGTGGCTGGCAGCCTCTGAGTAGCACCAGGACAGCGGGTGAGTCCTGCCACAGGAAACCCAGGCAGGATTACCGGCTGGGAATTTTTAGCACCAGCAAACTCAAGGGAGGGGAGAGGAACAGAAGGTTAAGCTGATCACCAGTGCCCAGCCATTTAGCCAGTCATGCCTACATCATGAAGCCTCCATGAAAACTCAAAAGGACGGGGTTCAGGGAGTTTGCCCATATCTGGAGGGTGGCAAGCCTGGGGAGGACGTGGAAGCTCTGCCCTTCTTCCTCCCTACCTCGCCTCAGGCATCTCTGCAGCTGCATCCTTTAACCAGTGAATGGATAAAAAATCAGTATTTTCCTGAGTCCTGTGCATTGTCCTAGCAAACTAACTGAACCCAGAGCAGGGATTGTGGGGCTCCTCATTCATAGCTGGTTGGTCAGAAGCACAGGTCAACAACCGGGGCCCACAGCTGGCATCTGAAGTGCAGGGAGTGCAGTTTCGGGACTGAGCCCTCAGCCCTGGGGTCTGACCCTGCAGCAAGGCAGATGGTGTCAGAGCAGAATTAAGTCCTTGCTGGTGTCTGCTGCTGCAGAACCGCTGCTTGCTGGTGGGGAGAAAGCCCCCACCTCTTCAGGTCACACAAGTCTGTGTGGACGGCTGTGATGTGAGAGCAGAAGAAAAGCGGCTTGTTTTACACATCACTCCAAGAGGCTGCGTCACTAGGAAAGTAGCACTGGGAGGCAAGGGCAAGGCGAGTTTGGTGAGTGTCATTGACACACTGGAGTATCAGGTGACTTCCAGTGAGCATTATCAGATGCAAGAAAACTCAGCCGGCACGTTTGGCCTTGAGTCTAATTTCTTAGTAAACATAAAAGATGCCGTCATTTTCTTGTTTTAAAGGTAATTAATGTGACCAGGTACTTACCGCTCTGGTCCCAGGGCAGCCTGGAGATTGGCATTTGCCACTCATTCGATTTGGAATTAAGACGTCATCCCAGCAAGATGGACCCTTCAAGAAAAAACAGCACAGAGTGTAACAGAGCGCAACACACATGTACTCCCAGGTACATTTTCCAAAGTCTCTCTATTTCTATCATTGGATGCAGTGTAGTAAGTGTGCAGTGCAGTGATCTGCAGACTGTGGTCCACAGATACTGTGGGGCCTCTCCAGATGCTTCCTGGGGTGTACCATGTCAAATTTGTCATCATAAATATTCGAAGGCTGCATTTGTTGATGGTGCCAAACATGTTCATTTCCCATTCCCACACTTCCTCCAGGGCCCTCTTTAAACTACTGCCTTATGAGGACGGCCATCCCTGAGCGCGGCCCGTCCTCTCCATCTGTCCTATTCTTTGCCTATCTCTACCCTATATCTGTCCCTCTGCTTTCACAGCAGTTGTCACTAAAGTGGCATGGCCAGAGTGATGACTGTCTGTGCCCCACTGAACAAGGGACACACAAGGGCAGACTTGGTCCACACCAGTCACGGCAGCATCCAGAACCTGGAGAGAACTTGACATAGGACAACTCAACAGGGTCTCCTGGTAATTGAAGAAACAAAGACTAAGTGACAAAAAGAGTCTATGAAATCAGAAGAGAGCGTGTCAACTGAAATCTCAGGGTCAATTAATGCATGACTTGGAAAGCAACCAGCAATGTGATCAGAAGTCTTTACCTAATTTGACAAAATTTCAAGAAATCTATACTGGCCCCAAAGACTAAGAACAGAAGGAGCCTATGCGTTTTGTTGAGGGATCTTCTGGACACCATACTGAGAAGCAGAACAGCCCAAATCACCAAAGACAGTTAACAAACATCCACAGCTAAATTAACTAATATGTTGCAACTACAATTTGTTGTTCTTATTCATTAGCCATATACTTGGTGAAAGGAATAGAAAACTGGATTAAAGTAGGAGCACAACTGTTTAAGTGATTGTAAAGGGAAAAGTTACAAGGAAATAAAAATACAATCTGCATCCTTTGGGGTAGGAGTCCTCTCATTACTGACAAACTTAATTGTTTAAAATGTTAAAACTTTGGTTAACTTCATTACAATTTTAATTGGTGACTTTTGAGTGAAAATATGCACACATATCTCACTCAAAAAGACTGCATTCGACACACTTGGATTGTGTCCAGGCCCCTGGAGACTGCTGGTCACTGCTGGCCTGTTGCGCACACAGAGCGACTGACCTCCTGTCCCTCCTGAGGCACATTTAACCTAGGCTTAAGAACTAGCAAAGGTAAACCCAGAGCACCAATGAGCACAGGAGAAGTGATGGTTAGGGCAGAGTCCCATGCTTCTCGGAATGTGCAACAGGCTGTAGCAGAGAATGAGCTTCTGTCCCCACAGGAGCACATGGAGGTGGAGGGTGGGTGTGCCACTGGGGACGTACAAGAGGCAGAGGGAACCTGGAGCCACAAAATTCCTATCATCCTCTACAGGGAAAGATCAGATCACCTACTTAAAAAGAATCAAAATAGAATTTTAAAATTGTAGCAATATCTTCAAAGCAAGGAGAGGAAGGTTTTCAACCTAAAACTCTGCATCCAACCTAATTACCAACTACACGGGAGAATGACTGACAGCGCTTGGAGATACGGAATGAGCTGGGAAGGGTGCTCAGAGTTTGGAATGACAACTTGAGGACACCAGAGGCAGGGTTGTTGGCCTCGAATTTGTGAGCCTGGAAGTGAGCCAGAGTCAGTAGCTGAGCCATTGTCTCCGAAGCTGTGATGGGAAGCATAGAGAAGAGAAGAAAGAGCTTTCTGCAGAGGTGGTGTGAGGGCCAGGAGGACAAAGGTTTGGACAGAGAAGCAAAACTCATTGTCATGAGTTGGCTTGAGGATCATTCCTGCTTCCAGAATCAGCCCAGAGCAGCCCGCCAGCTTGCAGCAGAAAATAGAGGAAATGCCGGGGCAAGTGTGCAAGGACCCAGAGACCACATGGCCTTGCCCTCCCCTCCACCAGCACACGCATGCATGTACACATGTGCACATGCACACATACCACACCACACATGCATGCACACACGTGTGCACTGTTCTAGAGAAAGGGAAGGAAGGCTGAGCTCCACCCGAGTGCCTAAGCCATCCGATTGTGGCACTTTAACCAGAACCTCAAACGCAGTGGGTTTTTTGATTCACAGCTCATTGGCCCAAGAGCCCCTGCTTAGACTGGACCTAAGCATGCAGAAGGAATTGCTGTGGGCCAGCTTCTGCTGTTGTTAGAAAGCCTTGCTTCCAAGGTCAGCCTTCAGATGGCATTTGGGAACTTGGATCTCAGAAGTGTCCCTGCCATTCCCTTACTGATGTGGGTGGTTTGCAGAACCTAAGCTGTTTGGACAAAGTATATGATTCATGCCCAACACCTCTTCCCTTCTGGGCGTCTGGAATTCTGCTAAGCTGGGCAAAGACACCCACACAACCAGCCCCCACAGAACCCCGGCTGCACAGCCTCTGCACTATTGCAGCTGTGGTGGGAGCGATAAGAGCCTGCTGAGGGACCCCAGGAGAGACTGCTGGAAACATGTGGCTCCTGCACATCTCCCCCTAGAACTGTCCCTTTACAGATTTTGCTTCTTGCCCTTTTGCCGTGAGGAATCTCAGCCCCATCTTGCAAGTCCTTCTGGTGAATCACTGAGTCTGGAGGTGGGCAGCAGTCCTGGGGCTCATGATGCAGTGTCACATAATTAGTCATCAGGAGAATGTTGTCCCAGCCACACAGGAGGTCAGTGCTTAGGGCCATTGACCAAGAATTAAAAACCCCATTTCATCTGCTGATCCCATTGTCACTGGGATAATGTTCACACTCATTTTATTTTCAGTCTTAGAGTCACACTAGTGAGACAGAACACTGTAATCATGACTATGGGAGAAAATGCATAGGGTGCTCAGCTGGGACAGTGTGAAAGTAAAACACAAACTCTAAGGATGGGGAGGTGACGGTAGAGCTGGGGGGGGGACAAAGGAAGGAGGGGACTGGTACTCTGACCTTACAGGTGGTTGTTTTATGATAGGGCCATCCACATATTTGATTTTTAAACACAAATCTATTTAATTTAAAAATTACAAACATCTTGCTGGGTATAATGGTATATGCCTTTAATCCCAGTGGCTTAGGAGGCTGAGACAGGAGGATCAGGAGTTCAAAGCCAGCCTCAGCAAAAGTGAGGCATTAAGCAACTCAATAAGACCCTGTCTCTAAATAAAATACAAAATAGGGCTGGGGTTGTGGCTCAGTGGTCCTGTGCCCCTGAGATCAGTCCCTGGTACCCACCCTCCCCGGGCAGAGGGACATCTTGAAATAGAAGAGAAGTGAACCAATAATACTTAGAAACTCAGCACATTCATCAGTCTTGTTTTGTAGTGGGGAGAGATGTAGCTGTGACTCAGTCCCCTGCATCAAACATCACACCTTATAACAACCCAAAGGGCATCTTGCTTATTTATCTGTTCTGATTCTCATTTCTCGGATGGTAGTGGTTACATCCGATATCTCTCTCTCTCTCTCTCTCTCTCTCTCTCTCTCTCTCTCTCTCTCTCTCT